ATCCAAACGGGCCCTATATTAAAGAATAGGTTGAACTCTTTCAGATGAGAAAACATAGGTTCTTCAGTGATTGCAATATTTATTTCCTTTTGTTTTCTTCTTTTTTTTTCCGAATTTATATTAGTTGTATTTTCATTATCATGATTTGTACCAAGACCTTTTCGCTATATACGAATATTTACTGTAATGATTCTTGTTGATTTGTTGCGGACGTCATAAATCTTGTTACGTGAGATTTCTATTGTGCTATGTAATACAAATTTATGGTCAGTTTGATAGTTTTAAAAACTTATGGGTATAAATCATATTTCTTAAAAAAATGAAATATGTTTCTCAAATTCTATGGCCAAACACATATTTAAATTTCACCCAAATTTTCATCCAAATAATGTTTGCCAAAAATATTTGAATATCTATGGCCAAACGCTAGCTTACTCTTCTCAAACTCCAGTTATGATGAAATAAGAATTATTCTGAATATGTTATTATCGTGTCACACAAATACAAGTAAATATTTAGGTTAAAGAGAATGAAAGATATGGAGAGTTTTTGGTAGATTGTGCAATATATAAGTCTTGTCCTAGATCAATAAAATAGGTTCTTGATTGAAGTGAATGAGCATGAAAGCATGAGATTATGGCATGGTCCTTTTTTGACTCTATTTTTGACTCATTCACTGAACTCAAGATTCAACCTATTAACCAAATAGTTGTTAAATAACCCCATCCTTATATTCTTTGCCTTTATCCGACATAAAGTTTTACTCTTTACAGTATTGTTCCTCTTCTATATATGAAAAAAAATTATTAATTGGTATATGATGTATATTACATTTATACTTTTTGACCCCTCTTCCTAAAAAATGGGAGTGACTATATATCCACTATATATAATCTCAATATCCAAATTGATCATTAAAATAGTCTCACCGTCTATTATTAGTTATCATGATTTCTTCTTTTAGAATCAAACGATAACGATTCATTTTTTCATTATATTGACATGTAAAAAATTACAATTTATAGTACTTTTCGTATAATTTTTGAATATCTATTTTTTTACAAAAATATCAAATTAATGTAATCTAATTTAACTTTAAAAATTAGTCAAAAATTGACTTTCGAAAATGCAATTTTGCTATTATAGTTATATATCTCAAACTATTTGTCGTGTTATTAGAAGAGATATTTAACTATTTTATTATTATTTATATTTTAACTATTTTATGATCATTTATATTTTAAGATATAATTTTTCTACTCTACTGAGATATTTATTTTTTCAAAAATAATTATTACAAAAGGTAAAATAGAGAAAAATAAAAAATTAATTTTCTCGAACTTTCAAAGTAAATAAATAAAAATTAACATCATGATAAATTTTGAGTATGAGGTTAATAGTATTAACATTTTCACAAAATTAGTGGAAGTCTAATGTTTCATTGATGTCGGACCTAATTTAATTTCTAAAATTGAATTATCCAAAATCATATTTAGAGACCAATTATATAATAAGAGACTTCTAACACATTTCCCTTCCTCAGATGCTTCAATATTTGGAACATTAACAATTAATGAGGCGTAAAATCGAAAAATTTAAATAAATATAACTGTGATATCTCATCTTAAAATATCAAAGAATTTTGAGTCTGAGCGTAATTTTAACTTTAAAAAAAAGATTATGAGCCTAGAATCACCCGTAAAGTTATTCAGTATTTGTATAAAGACATCTTAACTTTGAAAGTGTCCGATTACCCCATGAAATTATTTAATATCTTTGTAAATGGGTCATTTTGACCCATTTTTTCGCCTGGGTTGTTATCACGCAAATGGGACGCGTGACCCAATTTTTTACTGTCATAACCAGCTATAAAGTGTCAGGTGTCATTATATTTCTTTAATAATAATTATTTAATTAATTTACATCATCTTCCCCATTATCTTCTTCACTCAAATTCAAAAATTCAATTACTTTTTCTTCATCTTTTTCAACTTCGAAGATCCATTTATTTTCATTCATTTTTATCTTCTTTTTTTTTGTCTCTTGCTTTTCTTTGTTTCTTTATCTTCTTTTGTCTCTTTTTTTTTTTTAAAAAAAAAAAATAGAAGTCCATTGATTAGAGAATACTATGAAACTCTATCTTTTTTTTTAAATCTCATTACTTTGCTTTAGTAACTTGAGAGTTGAATTGATTTTATTTAGTGATGTTTTTTTTATGACGAAAATAGTTCTGTAACATGGAAGCATCATGGAAGCTACATTGAAGGTGACTCTGACTGCTACTTTTGGAGGATCTACAACAAAGAACAAAAGATTTGAGTAATGAAGATTTAAGAAAAAAGAGGGAAAAAATGAAAATAAAGTTAATAAGAATAAAAATAATAAAATGAAAACGAAACTAAAAATTTAAAATTAAAAGTACTTAATACGTGTCAAACAATTATTGGTGCGTGATTGCATCTCTTTTCTTGCAATTGGGGTTGAATAAGAAATGAGATATTTATAACACTCTTAAATTCTTCAATAGGAAAATAGGCCAACCACAAAGTTAAAGTGTCTTTTTAAAAATTTGAGACAACTTCAATAATAATTTTATATTTTTTTTCCTAAAAATTTACTTGTCGATATTCACACCAAGTCATCTCAATGTATGATATATATTTGTATATAGTCTTTTTATACAGTTATACTTAAACATAGTTGATTAACAAATTAAGTTAGCTGGGAACTTCATCAACTAGACATTGTTGAACCAGTTAATTGGGAATCTCATCCGATATTGCATGATAGATTTATCAATTGAGGGCAAAATATTCGAAAAAAAATCATTTTGTAGTTTTTTTATAAATTTATTTTTAATTTTGTATAATATTTTTTTATTAATAAATTTTCATTTTTACCTACAAAAGATATTAAAAAAATGTTATTTTCTTCTAGTCATAGTATAACATTTCCTCCAAAATATATATATATATATATATATATCACAATCTATAATTGAGATGGTTTACTAAACTAGGTGGGAGATAAAATGAGATAAATACTTATTCATATCGAGCGTTTACATTAAATAAATTTAACTTATCATGATTAAGTGATTTAATCATATGAAAATGAAAATTAATTAACTAAGTTTAGTATATCAAAAGTCTATACGTATAATTAAATACATGTCATTCATCTGTTGGTGTGTATCATGCAATTAAATTTTATTCCGGGCATGTGATAAGTCCTTTTTTTCCTACTCGATGTCAGGTATTCTAGATTTTGATTAAATTTAAATTCACCCCGTGCAAGATTCATTTTTGAAAAAAACACTTCCAACAAAAAAAAAATTATTCTCTAAAATTCGAGTTCGTGACCTCTTACTAATAACGAAAAAGATCTCAATTATTTCACCACGATCGAATTTGAAGCATGTGACAAGTCATTCTCGCCACTAATGCAAACACAACGTCTAGCTGCAACGAATAGTTATTGAAAATGGCATGGCCAATTGCGTGATATGTATGGAACTGCCAAATTTAACTGTCAACAAAACTCTTTTACAGACAATAAAAGGACTAGCCACAGTAAAAAATAAAAAAAGCTATTCCCTATTATGCCTTTTTTTTTCCGACTATTAAAACTCGTGATTTTAAATAAGTCATATTTAATCGTGTAACAAAATAGATAACTCATAATTTTTTTTTGAAAATATGGTGTAACATTCCATCTAATCTTCAAATTACAAACCACTTGCCTTCAGAGTCAATCTCGTTGCATCAGATTCGCTTAGTGCAAATTATTTCTCCTCTGTGATTTGCTAGCTATTGCTAAGGAACAGCGGTCTTATCCCGTGTGCACCCAAAAATAGCAATGTCACCTTCTCATAAAAAAAAAGAAGACTAACATAAATCAATTTAACTTAGAAGTTCAATATAATTGACTCTCCAATACACCATCAGAAATTTGTAATAAAATGAACACTGACGGATTCAGAATTTCCTTTAAAAGAATTTAAAAAGAAAAAGTAATGCTTAAAATTTGAGGTTTGAACCCCTCAACCACTATGCCAACATCTGATTTTATATTCACGAGGTTCAAAATCAATATATAAACATATAAATTTTTAAAAATATCGCAAGTATACAACATAATCTTTTGCCAAGGGGGTTTGACCTCTGTAGACTCTAGGTCCGCCCCTAGGATGAATAAGATTTATTCCTTTTTAATGAAAATTTTCGAGTTCGAATCATGGTTTCAAAGATTTCTTTTTTAATGACCTCGATGTGATACGAATCTAAATTAGTAGAGCCTCGCGTGTATCGAATATTTTAAGAAAAGACTAAACACTAACTGCTAATGTGGGTAAACTAAAGGGGCTTAATGATTGCAACCAGGCAGGACGTTAAAGAAACAGGGGACTCCTTCCTTGGCTTTTCATTATAAATACAAAGGGGTTGTTTCTTGTTTTTGCCACTCTCCTGGGGTTAGTTTGTTGGTGTTTTGGGGCTGGGGTTTGGTTACTAGTATTACTTTTCAGGTGGGTAGTTTCCAAAATGGCTTCTTGTTCTTCTTCAACAGCAGCTATGGCTATGGCTATAACCATTTTTCTGTTTTTGTTGAGCTTTGTTACACCTGTGTTTCTTGCTAAACCTGTACATCATGCTCACCATCCTCGTTTTGCTTCTCATAACTATAGAGATGCTCTTGCAAAATCCATTATTTATTTTGAGGGTCAGAGGTCAGGGAAGCTCCCTTCTAGCCAGAGGATTACTTGGCGTAAAGATTCTGGTCTATCAGATGGCAAAGCTATGGGGGTATGTTTTTTTTTCCTGAGTTTTTGGGTGTTTTTGATACTGCAAAATGGTTGTTTTGTTTTGTTTTAGCACTAGAAATGGTTCTCTTCTGTTGACATGTGGTTGTAAAGGGAGAATCTTGAACTTGTTTTTGTTGGTTTTGGGGTGTAATGGTAATGCAGGTTCTCTTTTGACAGTTTAGTTGTAAAGGAAGAGTCTTGAACTTGTTTTTGCTGGTTTTGATGTGATTGGTGGCTGTGCAGGTCCTATTTTGACATGTTTAGTTGTAAAGGAAGAAAATTAGACTTGTTTTTGTTGAATTTGGGGTGAATAATGGCAATGCAGGTCCTCTATTGACATGTTTAGTTGTAAAGGGAGCATCTTGAAATTTTTTTGTGGGTTTTGGGGTGAATAATGGTTGTGCAGGTCTTCTTTTGACATGTTTAGTTGTAAAGGATGAAACTTGAACTTGTTTTTTGTTGTTTTTTGGGGTGAATAATGGCTGTGCAGGACCTCTTTTGACATGTTTAGTTGTAAAGGTAGAATCCTGAACTTGGGTTAGTTTTAGGGTGATTGGTGGCTGTGCAGGTCCTATTTTGACACGTTTAGTTGTAAAGAATCACAAACTTATTGATTTTGGGGTGAATAGTCTCTTTTGACATGTTAAGTTATAAAGGAAGAATCTTGAATTTTGTTTTTGCTAGTTTTGGGGTGATTAATGGTTGTTCAGGCCCTATTTTGACATGTTTAATTATAAAGGAAGAATGTTGGATTTGTTATTGTTGATTTTTGCTGTTAATCATGGCAATGCAGGTTGATTTGGTTGGTGGATATTATGACGCTGGAGACAACGTGAAGTTCGGTTTCCCAATGGCATTCACCACCACAATGCTATCATGGAGTGTGATTGAGTTTGGTGGGTTGATGAAAGGAGAGCTACTGAATGCAAAACAAGCCATTGGTTGGGCTACTGAATATCTTCTCAAGGCCACAGCCCATCCAGACACCATTTACGTTCAGGTTTAATTCTGAAGTGAAAAAAAATCTCAACTTGTAGTGAATAATTGCGTCTCGAATCAAGTCTTTAACTTTTATATACAATCTTGTCTTAGGTTGGAGATGCAGGAAGTGACCACTCTTGTTGGGAGAGACCTGAGGATATGGACACCCCAAGAAGTGTGTACAAAATTGACAAAAACACTCCTGGGACTGAAGTTGCTGCTGAAACTGCTGCTGCTCTCGCTGCTGCTTCCTTAGTCTTTAGGAAATGCAACCCATCTTACTCCAAGATACTAATCAAAAGGGCCATCAGGGTATTTGTTTCAAACTCTTCCAAGTTCTAATAAAGCTAGTGATTAGTAGTACTCTCGTGTTTCAATTTCTTTGTCTTCAAGTGTGTTCCAAAAAGAATGTCTCTTAACTTATTTAAGACCACAAGATTCAAAAGTATTCTTTATTTTCTTATACTCCGTGTTGAATCATATCCAGACAAACAAATTAAAACGGAGGGAGGGAGTAGTAGAAATTATCAGAAACCTTCATCATTTGTTGTATGCTTACAAAGAAAATGTTGGTTTTCAGGTGTTTGCCTTTGCTGATAAGTATAGAGGTTCATACAGCAATGGTCTGAGAAAAGTAGTGTGCCCATACTACTGCTCAGTTTCGGGATATGAGGTTGGTGTTATTCTCAGCATTTTGACTCGAAACAAAATCGATGTACTTAGCTGATGCACTGATTAATGTATGTACAGGATGAGCTGTTGTGGGGTGCTGCTTGGTTACATAGAGCCACAAAGAACCCAACTTATCTCAATTATATCCAAAGGAACGGGCAAACTCTTGGGGCCGCGGAGACTGATAACACATTCGGGTGGGACAATAAGCATGTTGGAGCAAGGATTCTTCTTTCCAAGGTTCAATCTTTACTTGTGGTTTTCTAGAGGCTTATTAGTTGGAACGACTTCAATTAAACGGACTATTTTTCTCTGTTTTTTCAGTCATTTCTTGTTCAAAAGCTTCAAACTCTCCATGATTACAAGAGCCACGCAGACAACTACATTTGCTCCCTAATTCCAGGCACACCGGCTTCTCAAGCGCAATATACACCAGGTTAAATATATTATGTACTTAACTTTTGCTCACATTTCTGTTAGTTCCTCGTTCAAAGCTGTGGATTAAAATTTTTTTACGATTTTACAGGAGGGCTACTCTTCAAGATGGATGATAGCAACATGCAGTATGTTACCTCCACTTCTTTCCTGCTAGTCACCTATGCCAAGTACTTAACTTCTGCTCGCATGGTTGTTAAATGTGGTGGAGTTGTTATTACACCAAAGAGGCTTCGAAATGTAGCCAAAAAACAGGTTAGTTAAAACCAATTCAAGTATACAGCAAACCCTCAATGCATAAAAGTTAACTTGTTCCTTTTTTTGAACTGCTCAGGTGGACTATTTGTTAGGAGACAATCCACTAAAAATGTCATACATGGTGGGATATGGAGCAAGGTATCCACAGAGGATTCATCACAGGGGATCCTCATTACCCTCAGTCGCGAACCATCCAGCAAAGATACAATGCAGGGATGGTTTCAGTGTGATGAACTCACAATCACCAAACCCGAACGTACTAGTAGGGGCTGTGGTAGGTGGTCCTGATGAGCATGATCGTTTCCCAGACGAGCGTTCAGATTACGAGCAATCTGAACCTGCCACTTACATTAATGCTCCACTTGTTGGAACACTCACTTACCTTGCTCACTCATTTGGCCAACTCTAAAGTCAAGTGTGTAGTAGAATCAAGAATGAAGCCATGTTGGTCTTTGTTTTTACTTTTTCTAATTGCCTTGTTGATCACTAGTAGTAATATAATATATAGTCTAATCTAAATGGGGATGTGCTGGTGTTGTGGTTGTATTGGCTGAGACCCTAAAAAAGAGGCTCCAGCCCCCAACCAACCCCCCCCTCCTATGCACACAGGCCAAATGCTGTTTCATTGTTAGCAGCATATTTGCCTTGTTGGAGCATATGTTGTTACTAGTATTATTAATATTTCTATAGTGGAAGCTTTCTTGTTTTAACTTTCATGTTATCCGCTTTTAACATGTTGGTTAACTTTCATCCTTGCGTAGTTACCACATTGATAGAGTCAGTATTTTCATTAATTTATAAAAAAGTAAAAAATACATGAAAAAATAAATAAAAAATTTAAATTTTATCATATATACATGAAACATATTTAATTAACCATGAACGAATAATCGGAAAACAAACAAAATTTGGGGTTTAGTGACCAACGTTCAAAAATGAGGAGTAATTGAGGGGCCAAATAAATGACCGTTGAGCAGAGTGACCAATAAAAGTTCACAAAGGCAACAAAATAACGACTCAAATACTTTTAAAGCATATAAAGTGGGGAGTGCTTCACCCTCCATATGAGGTTTTGGGTTCGATTCTTGAATATATAAAAAAATTTGTTAAGAATATTGCTCCCGAATGGACTCTAAAAAGTGCGATTCGAATTTAATCGAAACTTCAATATAAATTACGGACACTAAATTAAAAATCAAAAAAACAAAAAAAATATTTATGACTTACAACTCTCACAAGTCACAAGAACATCCCTTCCTCTTACTATTTTGGAAGTTGGGATGACAAGCGGTGTGAGTTTTTTTATCTCTGCGTTACTCATTCATACTTAGGTCCAAAAAATTACCAAACTATGTAGTAATTGTCTTTTGCCTATTGTTTGTGAATAATTACGTACCTATAACTAAACATTAAGGTACTTCTTTAATTTTATTTTTTTTGGAGAATTTAAAAGATACTGGGTATAAAATAATAAAATGTTTTGTCAAACTAAAGTATTTATAAATTGAATAATTATAAATTAAGGATGATCAACTATTCATAAGCACTGCATTTTGAATATTTTATCAAATGGTAAATAAATTAAAAAGCAATTATAAGTAGGGATGATAAAAATATCCAAGGATCAAAAAGAATCGATTTGATATTTTTATTTAATTCTCGATATATCTTTGAAAGTATTTAAATTTTAATAATTTTTATTTAAATTTCATATTTTTAAAGTTCAAATTCAAGTTTCAAGTCCCAAGTCTCAAGGGAAACTAGATAACTAGTCACAAAATTCAAAATAATTATAAGTTTATAGTCAAATTTAAAATAATTCCTAAAATAAATATTCTCTCATAATTTTTATTTAATCTAAGTGATACTAAATCAATATTATAAATACTAAAGAAATGAATTAAAAGCGAACTAAATCCAACCATATTTTTTAATTTAATTAAGTGGAACACCACGTTTCACTTATAACCGAGCTTACACATTCACGGAGAAATTTTAATTTGGGTTTTTAGGGTTTGTGAAAATGCAGAGGTGCTGTTCGTCTGCTGGTCGATCTGTGACATCTAAACGATGGTTTTCTTCATCAAGCACTGATAAAATTGTTGCTTCAGTGCTCTTCGAGAGATTACCAGTTATAGTTCCCAAAATCGATCCTACTGTATATGCTTTTCAAGAATTTTCGTAAGTTTTTTGTCCCTTCCTCATTTTTTCTATTCAATTGTTGTAGGAACTCGAAATGCTCTGTATTCTCATTGTAATTGGATAACGATGATTTATTTTTAGAGCAATGAGTGATTTTTGCTGTGCATTCTAATGATTGGAGGTAATTTGTATTATAAAGTTGAGAATAATGAGGTTATAGATTTGTTGGTATTAGGATATGTAGAAAATAAGAAAGGATATAAAAGAGCAAAGGCTCCTGAAACAAGAGTTGGAGAATGTAGATCATAATTTAACCTAATTGTGTTTAGTTGATCACAGTAATGTTATTTTTTGACTGCTAAAATAGGTTTCGTTGGAGGCAGCAGTATCGACGAGAGTATCCAGAAAGTTTTCTGAAGAAGTCGGATACTAGGTACGTTTTTGTTGCAGTGCTTGAGTTACACCTTTGCCATTTAGTACCTTTTCTTGTGAACTGTAGATCTTCATTTATGAATATTAACTGATGAATGGTATTAAGAGTGTGCATAGGATGAAACAAGTTTAAACATAATAGGCCAGTGAAATTGCTTTGTCGTCCACGATAAAGACAATTACAAAGAAACAAACTTTTAAGTTCAAAATTTGGATGGGTGATAAATTTTGCAAGAAAAATATTAGTAACTCATTGTTTACAGTTGTAATTTAGTGTTGTTTTTGTTTTCTGTAGATTGTTTAACTTTTGGAATCGAGCACTAGAGGTATTTTGCTAGTTTTTAGAACTCCTGAATTTGAAAATCTGGGAAAATATTCTTTCTAGGTCAGGTTCTCTTTTAAACTACAATTAACAGTTAAAAGGAAGGATTTGTACTCACAAGTCACAACTAAATAAAGAAGTGGGTTTATTAAAAGGAAAAAGAGCTCATTGCAACAGGCATGGAACTGTCAAAAATACTAAATTAAACACATTCATTATGGCTCACAAAAACTAATGGCACAATTGGCCATGGAGAGATTTCAAGGTTTTCCTTATTTTACCAATATTTTACTCTTGACTATCTAGCTTTCTGTAGTCTAAATTTACTGCAGAAACTAATCTTCTTAGTTTTTTGATTCATCTTGCACAATCATGCCTTTCTTCCAGTTTGTACTTCTCCACCGTTAATCCATACAACTGGTGTCAAGCATTCTAAACCTTATCAGCCCCATAAATTGCAGAATATATTTTACTGCAGGAAGATGTGAATAATTGTCGATTCCGTTCCTGACAAAAGTTAAGAATAGATTGTTGGCGTTTTAGCCCTTTTACTATTTTCTTGTTTGAAAACTTTTGGGAATTCCTTTTTGCAAGAACTCTATGATTGAACTTTAAAAAAGTACATTTTTTTTCACAAATTACGTTAAGCTCCTGTTGACTCCAGAAAACAAATGACATAGTGTACTTGAAGGTGCAGTTGTGGTTCTCTCTTCCTTCAGATTTGTGATGATTATTTTCATGAAAAACGTAGCACATCTAAACACGAGAAGCTAGGGAACATAATAAAGATGCTATACTTATAATTATTTTTTCTGGTTCACCCTCCTAAACATATGCATGAATCTCATTAATCTACTATTATACCCCCTCCGGTTTCACTTAAAAAATTCCCTTTGTAGCCCATCATTTATTGGAAAAAAATTGATAAGGTTAAAGCAGAAAAAGAAATAATATTAACTTGGTCAGATGCGAAATTGAACAGTTTCCGTAACTTTTTGTGCTGAGCAATGAGCATTACTATCTTAGTGCTGTCCATTTACAATTTAAAAAACTTCACTTTCTTTTCAGAAAAGTACATGGTAAAGATGGCCTAATTTCATTTGTATCTATATAGATCGCACTTTAAGAAATGAGATCTCTTCATGCAGCAGTACACATGTCGTACTGTAAATACTGTCCCCTCTTTTAGCAGTATGACCCAACTAAATTTTACTCCTGGGCTTTGTGTAGTATTATTGCCTTTTCTTCCATGCATTCTTCCTTATTAGCCATTAATTATGTACATGGTTCTTCTTGAACATGCTAGCACATACTGTTCTGTTTAGTATCAAATGCCACATGGTCAACTGGCACGGTTTCATCTATATTTAACATGCAGGGGAAAAGGTGATTATCAAATTGATTATAAACCAGCTCCGCGAATCTCAGAAGCAGATAAGACTAATGATCAAAGGTACCAAAGCTTGGACTTCTAACTTTTGTCAAACATCATACAAGAATCTGAATATGGATATTGCACTATAAGATCTTTTTCTTTCAAGAGTTGCTTTACCTAAATTCAGTTGACTCATACTTCCTGACAATGTGTGATTATTGACTTCTAAATTGTTTACCATAAGTAAATTTTTGATGTTGAAATGCCTTAATATTGTCTCAATGTAATTGATGTGTTACATGAGATTTGTCTAATTGAGCATTATGTAAGTATTTAAAATTGAGAATGGAGAGCTATTGTTGCTTTTTTTCTTTCCTTTTAAAATGCCTTTGTCACCATCTACCCCACAAAATAAAGCTTGCATCTGTTCTTCAACTCATTACTTTGTCAAAATTTGCTAAAAGGTACCAACCCTCGGTGCACTTTCTTTTTAGATTTAGTCAGTCAGCTTAGGGTCCAATATGGCTATACAAAACCTTTGCATTTTCCTGGACATGAATAATAAGTCAACAGATATTCAAAGCATTTGTTTCCTTCTGCTGGCTAGTATTTCATGTTACTGATTATGAGATTTTTGTTGATATGCATAAGGTCATTACAGCGAGCACTAGACAGGAGACTCTATCTTCTAGTCCATGGTACCACACATGGTAGTGGAAAGCCCGTCTGGCATTTTCCTGAAAAAGTTTATGAGTCTGAAGAGAACTTGCGCAAGGTAAATAGTACTTATTCAGTCCATTTCTTTGAGGATTTCAGTAATTTGGGTTAGAAAAATGAAATATAAGTGGCAACTATTTGCAGTGTGCTGAGTCTGCCCTAGAATCTTTCATTGGAGATCTTTCACATACATATTTTGTTGGAAACGCCCCTATGGGTCATATGGTCATACAACCCACTGAAGACAAGAAAATTCTGTCAATCAAGGTATGCACAATTTTAATTATTGAAGTATTGAGTGAGGGAGGGAGGGAAATCCCCTGATAGCTTATGTGCTTCTAACGTATAAATTCTATATTTATTATGGCAGCGCTTCTTCTTCAAATCCCAAGTCATTGCAGTCAACAAATTTGATATTAGAAAGTGTGATGATTTTGTCTGGGTGACAAAAGATGAATTGTTGGAATACTTTCCTGAGCAAGCTGAATTCCTGAACAAGATGATCATCAGCTGATGTTTGTTTCTGCTCAAACTTCAGGCTTGGTAGGATAGCTAGCGGTTTGAGTATATCCTGATCTGAAAAATCCACTTCTTTCCGCAAATGTAATGGCTTTGATTACTGGAGACCAATTTTATGTACTGGCAGCAAGAAGACCTGACTGCAATTTGCCAGTGTGCCATTCATCAAGTTTTGTAGAATTTTGAACATAGGGATACCTTAAGTTGTGATGGCCTTCTATCTCAGCTATCACCATTC